AAAAAAAGAACTTAAATACAAAACAGAAAAAGATTCATAGACATAGAATACAAACTTGTGGTTGCCAAGGGGGTGGGGGGTGGGAAGGGACAGACTGGGAGATCGAAATTTGTCAGCATATGTAGAGTAGATAAACAAGATTATATTGTATAGCACAGGGAAATATACACAAGATCTTGTGGTAGCTCACAGCAAAAAAGAATGAGACAATGAAAATACGTATGCTCATGTATAACTGAAAAATTGTGCTCTACACTGGAAATTAACACAACATTGTAAAATGACTATAACTCAATAGATTAAAATAAAATAAAATAAAATAAAATAAATAAAGTTGAAGGGAATCTCTAGAAACACTTAAAAAAAAAAAAGATTCAGGTTCCCTAAACTCAAGGGAGCACATAAATGTCTGTGTATTTTGCATCATCCTATAGGTGCAAGTGAACCAGTGCAAGGAAAATACTGATATTTTGGTTACTGCTATTGCATGGGCAATAAACTGTCTCTCACCTCTGACTTCTCATGTCTTCTGCCAGCATCTGTGAAGCTGCAGCAAGCTAACTTTTAACTTACAGGTAGGACAGAATCTCAGATACTTCACAGATCTTGACAGTGGTATTGAACTGGAATTGAAAGTATGAGTATGAACTGGTGGTTTTTAAATACACACAAATAGATAGATACAGATGTGTGTATATACATTTGTTACTTTCCAGCTCTAGTCCATTGACAGAAACTACAGCAATCACACGTGGCAGCAATGAGCACACCAAGTGCCCAGAGCTTGGTTTATAAATCTATTCTCCAGTAAAAGAAAACAAGGCTCCTTGGAACCACTGATTCCAGGGCTAGAGGAGGGAAAATACAAGCATGGAACATCTTGGTGCCAGAAAGTAAGGCAGCGCTCAAAAAACGATGGCATGTTAAGAGGACACAAAGGTCAACATGAAGGAGTTCTTAATGGCCAAATTGGGGGCAATATGAGCAACAAAACATACAACTATAACAGATTAAAACTCACAGAATAATATAAGTATCTACGAGTTCATAAATAAATAATTGAATAAACATATGAGGAATAAGGAACAACTCTTCTTTATACTAGAATTTAAATTAATAAATACAGAAGGAATGATGGAAAAGGAAAATCAGCACTAGGCAAACATCACAGTAATAACTGTTACAAACAAGAATTATCAATGGATGTTAAAATTAATAGGCGAGGGGATCAGGGTATATAGCTCAGTGGTAGAGCACATGTTTAGCATGCATGAGGTCCTGGGTTCAATTCCTAGAACCTCCATAAAAGTAAAATAATTGAAGAATAAAGAACAACAAAAATTTTTTTAAATTAATAGGCGAAAGTATAATGAGAAACAGTATTTTTGCAGTCTCAAAGCATCTCCCTACAAGGTACTTATTAATTAAAAAAGGAAAAATAGTAATTTTACAAAAGAGAGCCTAGGTAGACATCACCTTAACCAAATGGTCAAAGTTAACATTACTGATAATGAGATACACTGATGTCATATAAAACCTGATATGACACATTGAGAAGAACACATCATTTGTGATCTTTTTGCCAAAAATACATAATCTAAATTTAACCATGAGGAAACAGCAGACAAATCCAAATTGAAAGACATTCTACAAAATAACTGGCCAGTGCTCTTCAAAAGTGTCAAGATGGTAAAGCATAAAAAGGGCTAAAGAACTATGTCAGATGGGAGGAGACTAATATCAACAAGACAACTAAATCAATGTGGAAATGTACACTGGATTCCAGAACAAAACAGGGCACTGATAAGACAATTAGCAAAATTTAAATAAAGGCCTGTAAATCAGCAAAAGGCTTGTATCAGCATAAATTTCCTGGTTTTCATAATTGTATTGTGGACACCTAAATGAAGAGTTTATGGTAATTATTTACACTAAGTTTACAATATGATAAAAGTTTTTTTTAATAAAAAAAATGTTTAAAAGACAAGAGGGCAAAAAGAACAGAACAGACATTTTAAAAAATTGGATATTCAAATGGCCAATAAAGATATCAAAGGTGTTGAACATCATTAAACATCAGGGAAATGCAAATTAAAACTGTGATAAAATTCCATTACATGTCCACCAGAATATTTACAATAGAAAACAATGTGGAGCAACTGAAACTCTCATACATCACTGGAGCAACTGAAACTCTCATACATCACTGGATGGAGTGCAAACTGGTACAACAAAAGAT